AAAAAAAAAAATGAAGAAAGCCAACAACAGAATAGGGTTCAACTCACCGGACAGATACTTGAACTGATGAAACAAGTGTGCGTGTGCATGTGTGTATGTATGCATTCTTTCGCACACACGCATTCTCATTCTATTTCATGCATACATACACGAGCGATGTTTGTCTTTTTTCTTCTCGATTCGACGCCAAAAGAAAGAGAGAGAACAATGTGTGTAAACATGCACATACATTAGACGAGTGAAACAGAAAAACGGAATTCGTCGTACGAGTGTTAACATAACAAAAGACAAAAAGACAACAAAATTTAATAAGTAAAATAACAGCAACCGACCCATCTGACGATGTTACTGGTATATGCAAAGACGAACGAATAAGGATAAAAAAAAAATGTGCGTTGTCGTTGTTTCTTTCTTATAGGTTGAATAAAGAGGAAAAAAAAAGGGGTATAAGAAAGGGATGCACATATACACAACATCCCCGCCTGGCTTGTCTAATCGCAAGCAAGTAGAAGAACGTTAGTAAGAAAGGAGAAGAGAGAGAGAGAGAAAGAAATAAATACCCATCTACAATCGAGTCGACGATGAAGCAGCTCCATTACTCTATTTGTTTATTGTCTCATATTATCGAATACAAGAGAGAAAGACGAATGCACTTTTTTTTGTTATTCGCTTCTATTTATAGATGAAACTGCTTCTTTTTTTTTTTTTTATCGTCTTCTTTCTCATAGTCAAACAAAAAACAAAATGTGACAGACACATCTAGTGTTAAACATATCAGAAATTTTGATGTTTTTTGTTTTGTTTATTAAATAAAAATTGAGACGAAAAAACAGTAGTTTCTATAAACTTAGTCGGTGTGTATGACTCCTTAAAAAGAGAATATTATATGAAAAAAATTCTAGAATAACAGATATTGTCTTCGACAGTCAAAACAAGGCAAAGAAAACGATAAAGATAAGGAAAAAAAACTGAGAGCTAGTTGGAAGAAAAGAAAAAAAAAAGGAAGAAATAAACCTAAACAGAGAAAGAAGGGTATGTATGAAAGAGAAAAGAAGATGGACGTGTTTAACGAAGGAAAAAAAAATGACTACCATACATCAAGATTAATTGCCTCTTTAAAAAAATTAATTAATAATATCATGCATAAATTTTGAAACATATTTCATCTAGATAGTAAACATCATTTTTTATACACAATTGAAAATAATTGTGTCTGATTTTTTTTTAATAGAGGGCGCTCTAGAACAGAAAATAGAGGTCAAAAAAACAACAACAGATGTTTATATTTTAAATAAAAAAATCAAGAATTAAAAAATTTATTAATCAATTTGTTTATTTTTCGAATGAACAAAACATGATGTATAGATTATTCTAATCAATAATGGAAGATTTCAGTTGCTAAAAAGAACAGATGTAAAATATTCACAACTTTTACTATAGAAAATTAAATTACTACAATACAAGTATTCTTTGAAAATTGCAATCAAAAATGTAAAATAGATTGTATATGTTAATGTTTTCGTATTTATAGTCATAGACATAAGTTACTCTTATCTTAAATCTGAAACAATCGACAATCAAGAAAATTTTTCTAAATATAATTTAATAATGTTCTTGTTTATCATATAATAAAATTAATCATTTTCAATTGTTCTCAACGTGTACCGAAAATCAAACATATTCATTTAAAACGTCTCATCATATAATTCTTTTTATTTCGTGAAATCGGAGAAAAAAAACAGAACCTATTTTTCATTATATCATTTAATAGGTACATTAACAAGAGTTTTCGATTTAACAGCACCTTTACCATTAGCTACTTTCCATAAAACTCCTTTAAATGTTGCTTCACCTTTATCATTTGTAGTCATATCAGGTAAAATTTGATCTGATAATTCTTTTTTAATTTGAGCATCCGGTGATGAACAATTATAACCTTCACATTCAATTCGATCACCTGGTTTACAATCACTTGATGGTTCAAGTATTTCAACTTTATCTGGTGTTGATGCACACATAACCACTATATAAAATAGAACATATATATATATATATATCAATTTGAATTCTTCGAACTTACTAGCTTCAGATGTAATACCACGCATTTTTGCTGGTTTTAAATTACATAAAACAATACAGAGTTTTTGATTAAGCTAAAATAATTTTATTGATAGAAAAGAAAATGATTTTGTATAACTTACATCATTGATTTGTAAATGTTTAACAAGACCACTACATACCTAAATAAGAAAAAATGTCTTTCTTTTGAATATGTTCTATCATTTCTTTTCTTTCAAAATACCGTTCGTGGTTTTTCTTCACCAACATCGATTTGTTCAACATATAAAGAATCTGCATCAGGATGTTTTTCAACTGATACAATTTTTCCAACACGTAAATCAAATCGTGTTATGTCAATTGCAGTATTAGCAGCTGGTTTTGCTGGTTTTTCTATTGACATTAGAAAATTCTATTTAAAATAATTCTTTGATTTAAGTTTTATACAACCTTCTTTAGTAGCTTTCTTTTTCTTTTCTTTTTTATCTTTAGTGTCTTGTTGATCACTACTAGCAGCAGCAGCAGCAGCAGCAGGTGCAGCAGCTTTAGTCACTGGTTGTGCAACTTCAACTGGTTTTTCTGGTTGAGCAGTTGATTGAGTAGAAGCCTTGGGACTCTTATTAACAAAATCATATTGTTGTGTTACTAAGAAAAAAAAACAAAAGTTTATTTATTTATTTTTTGTTTTTATTATTAGTGTAAATATAATCTACCTCCTCGTTGATTTTCTAATGTAACCATTTCGTCAACAAGATTTTGTACACGTGCTTTTAATCGTGTATTTTCTTCTTGAAGTACATTAATATATATTTCTGGATCAAGTTGTCCTTTAGAATAAAAAGAGATAACTTAATAAAATCTAATAAAATAAAATTTACTTACGCGTACCAATAGTACCAATAAGTGATTTTAATTGTTGAATACGTTCATCAGCTAATTTAGCTTTTTCCTGTATAGCTTCCATGTTAAAAAAAGAATGAATTGTACTAGTGTGATAAGGATGCCGAAGAAAATGACGAATATTTACTAATCTAAAGCAGGACATATTATTATATCTTAAAAAAAAGACATCATGAAATACAATTAAAAAAAATGATGTAATAGTATTGCAATTGCTTTTATTGGAAAGAAGTAGAAATATTTGTTAAGTTACCAACATTATTTTCCTTAATGGTAAAGAATGGATGCAAAATTCTATCCAACCAAATGTTTGACTGTGGTTGAGACGCAAGAGGGAGTGATTCTTAAGTATTCTTCCAGAGAAGTGGAATAATGTTAAAAATTGATAAGTTGGAATTGACAAGCTACAAAGATTTTACTCTTTTAGCAAAATCAGAGGATGATGTTAGGTAATTATGAAAAAAAAATCCCAGGTTATAGCAACATTTAGCTAAAATATGCAGAAAAATGCTTAGAACGCATACAACTTCGCAATTCAATATCTCGGCCAAATTCTCAACCACAGCACGAATTCTTTGAAGCTTGTTCTAGTCTATAGGTCCTCTACCACTGGACAAAGCATGGATTCAAAAGCTTTTAATCACCTGGGGATCTTTCCTGGTAAATGGCATTAATAAAAAGATTTAGAAGATTTCAGAACCTTTCTTGGAATTATAATGGCTGAAATACATTTTTCAATATTCCTAATAACACAGTTTCTGATTTTTGGGTCGATAAATAATTATATGATAGATATCAACGATGATGATATTAGTCTTTCTGAGTTCATCTATATACATGATAGCTCATTAAGATCTGCTGTATATATAACGAACGTGTACAACAGGCTTATTCGTTCATTAAATCAATAGTAAGACTAATAATAATAAATTATGAAACGAAAATAAATACCACACAAATAGCAACAAGACAAATAAAAAAGAAAACAGAAGTTCTGTTCGAAATGTAGAAATAAAAAAAGATATAGTGTTTGCTCACAATTGATTATCGTTGAAAAAAGAACTATTGTCTTTTACAGATGTTACACTTTACGTATTTTGTATTAATATAATAAAGCTAAAAAAGACATGCGAGTTCTACATTTCAGCTTCAAAGGAACTGCGCTAACAGGCTTTTTCATATAATATCCACCTGGGTGTTTACAGTGAGGGTAGGATTCAGCCCTTCCCTCCCTCCCCTAGGTCATGTCTATAAAGGGACGGAAACCATCTGATAACACTCCTAAGGGGAATTCAATTGTTAGGGAAGAAAGATCCCCATCTGATGACATCACTATATAAATATCGCCTTTGGATTCCTATATTTCCGTCGAGTGACGATATGAAGTCGGAGTCAAATACAATGACACTCGTCTGCTGTGCAAACTTGATTTATAAATGACTAGTGTATTGTACCTGTAAATGATCATTTGGCGAATGTTTCTTTATTAGTGACTTGAATTCGGATAAATATGGTTATTTGTAATAAAATTCAAGCTCATAATAAACTCTTTTTCTAATCATTATATGAATCGTACTAAAAAATAAGAACATTATAGTTTTGAATTTATTTTTCATTAAATAGATTGATTATGATTGTATCGATTACTTCTTTAGTTTATAATTTTACACAGTTTATTT